CTAAACTAGACTCGCCGGAGGATGGGGTGGGGTATGGGGAGGCAGGAAGGATCATCCAGCTATAAATCATTGCAAATCTTCCTCCTGGCAGGCTGCCCCGCTTCAATGGAGCTACACGGAAAAGAGAAACCGTGTTGGAGGGATGAGACCGGCCCCCCAGATTGACTTCCTGCTGTGCATGGCCATGTCCCAGGGAGGCCCGTTGGAAGAGGACATTTGGGAGTATAAATCCATTCGGAAACCAAAATGTGTGCCACGGGGTCAGGACGTGGTGACCCCCTCCACCTCCTTGCCGCTGCCTCACCCCCGCAAAGGAAACGGTGGGAAGAAGAGGAGGAAAAAAGCATTGGGGCAAAAGGCCGAGCCGGAGACCAGCGAGCAGGAGGCCCCGGGTCAAGCCCTTGGCAAAGAGGACCCGAGTGGGCAGGTGGAGGATGATGTCACTGCTCCCGCCAAGCTGAGCGGGAGCTGTAACAAAAAACAAACGCCGCAAAAGGCCAGGCCAATTTATGAGGGCTACTGTCCAAGCTGCCAGATGCCCTTCTCTTTACTCTTAGTGCAGACCCCTCGGTGGCACGTTGCTGAATGTTTGGATGCTCCGAGCGCTGCTGGAAAAGGTAAGGCAGCCACCAAGAGAGAGGAGACACCCAACAGGTTTTATATAGTCAAATGAAGTTGCTGTGTACCTAGGTTGTGTTTCACTCTGAATTGCACTGGTGAGGTATCCGAGGCAGTTTTTGTAGAAGAGCCATTTTGGTTTTGCATCGTTTTATTGGCATTCATTTCACAGCAGGGTTTGCGCTCAGATGTCTGTCATGGGACTTGGATAGACTGACCCTTGTTTGTTGGTGGCCAACCTGCAGCTCAAAGGCCACAAGCGGCAGGTGCAGGCTCCAAATGTGTCATGGGGAAGATCATGGGGAGGACAGGTGGTGTGGGCAGAAGGAAGGGCGGCAGATTGGGCAGGAAGAGCGGCAGATTGGGCCAGGAGTGGAGAGCAGAGCAGCAGATCGGGCTGGGAGTGGCAGATCGGGCAGGGAGCGGAAAGCAGGGTGGTGGATCAGGCAGGGGGTGGAAAGCAGAGTGGCAGCTTGGGCAGGGAGCAGAAAACTGCAGCAGATTGGGTGGGCAACAGGGATTTCATGGCACTCAGGGAGGGGGTGGGGCTAATTGGTGGCACACCAGCCAAAAAGATTGGCCAGGGCATGGCCTAGCCCTGGGGTGGGGGGAGTGGTGAGGCCTGGCCCTGATCCAGCTGGGTAGGGAGGGAGCATGGCCTAGCCCCATGGGGAGAAGAGGGTGTGGCTCATTCCTAACCTGGCTGCACAAGGTAAGGGGGTGTAGCCCAGCCCTGCTCTGTCTGTGTAGAAGAAGGGGGCATGGCCTGCCTCTGATCTGCTTCAAGGGGTTTGGGAATTTGGCACCAAGTTGGGGTGACAGTGTTAATTGCCACTAGTCCCCTGCCACCAAATTCCCAGACTCATAGGGAGCCCTGCAAGCCAGATGGGTTTACTGTGAGTTGGATTTGGCCCATGAGCTGGAGGCTGAGTACCCCTGTGCTAGCACGTATTTAGCATTTCACAAACTATGCCGACATTTAGGGCATAATCCTGAATTCTTTGCCAAGAAAAACCTTCTATTAATTAAAATATCACTTCTGTTTGTCACTGAGTTTTTCTTTCCTTAGACAACTAATTCTACGATCCCTGGTCCAAATTGCTGTTCAGATCTTTGAGAACAGGATGTGGAAGCAAAAACAAAGTCTGGGGTGCTGAGTCCAACCAATGAAAGACTGGTGCTGATATATTAGGCTTCAGATCTTGCATGGGACACTGTAGAAATACCATCTAGAAGGAGTCTGCTATGAAAGTGTGAACCTAAAAGTAGATCTGTTTTCATTTCTAGATAGGAGTGGGAGCAAGAGATCTGGGACCCACTCACGGTGTTATGTGCTACCATCTTTTAGGGATCCATGACAAACTTAAATCATTCAGGATCTTTTGTAGTTTTTTTTTTTTTAAATTGGAAGTATAAAGCCACAAAATTTAAACTTAAAGGATGCTGCATTAAGTAACCACTTCTCTTTTCTTGTTATAATGTTGTAGCTTTTCTTGAAGGGCCTTTGAAGTCATTGTAGAATAATAGAAAGGGGAGGTTTTAACTTGTAGTTTTTTCTATATCCTTAACCTTAGGCCAACATGTCTGCCAGCTTACTTTCAGCTTTGAAGTAACCCTTGTAGAACCTTGCTTTTTGGCACCAAACCCAAAAATTCTCAAAAGAGTTTAAGTTCAGCTATGTAGACTGTGGCATTTGTGACTATTAGGGGAAAAGTGCATGCATGCCTGAGTTCATGTTAGGGATGGAAAGCCATTGATTATTTATTAAGGTCCAAAGCATAAAATTCATATGGCCATGAGTATCATAGAATCATAGAAGTCGGGTTGGAAGGGACCTTGTAGATCTTCAAGTCCGACCCTCTGCCTGGGCAGGAGAAAAAACTGGGCTTAAATGATTCCAGCCAGGCAGGCATCCAGCCTCTTCTTAAAGACCCCCAGGGTAGGAGCCAGCACCACCTCCCTTGGAAGTCAGTTCCAGATCCTAGCCACCCTAACTGTGAAGTAGTTCTTACGGCTGTCTAATCTAAACCTACTGTCCAACAACTTGTGGCCATTATTCCATGTTATGCGGGGGGGCGCTAGGGGAAACAAGGTCTCTCCCAAACCCTTCCAGTCCCCCCAGTGAGTTTATAGACAGTCACCAGGTCCTGAACAGGTTCAGGTCCTGCAGTCTCTCATTGTAGGGTCTGCCCTGTTGTCCCTGGATCATGTGGGTGGCCCTCCTCTGGACCCTCTCAATGTTGTCCACATCCCTCCTGAAGTGGGGCGCACAGAAATGGACACAGTACTCCAGCTGTGGTCTGACCAGTGTCGCATAGAGGGGGAGGATATCCTCCTTGGTCCTACGTGAGATGCACCTGTGGATGCACGACAAGGTTCGGCTAGCCCTGCCAACCGTGACCTCGCATTGTTGGCTCACATTCATCTTGGAGTCAGTAATGACTCTGAGATCCCTTTCTGTCTCCGTGCTTTCAAGAAGGGAGTTTTCCATCTTATAAGTGAGCTGCTGGTTACTGCTGCCCAAGTGCACCTGTCAGTATTGAAACGCATCCTATTTTTGTTAGCCCACCCCTGTAACCTATCCAAGTCTTGCTGCAGTCTTTCCCTCCCTACTAGCGTGCTCACCTCACCCCAAATTCTGGTATCATCAGCGAATTTAAACAGGTTGCTTTTCACCCCGTTGTCCAAATCACTGATAAAGAGATTGAACAGCACAGGCCCAAGGACCGAGTCCTGGGGGACTCCGCTACCCACTTCTCCCCAGGTTGAATATGACCCGTCTACCACCACCCTCTGAGTACGACCCTTCAGCCAATCTGCAACCCATCTGACTGTGTAGGCATCAATGCCACAGTCGCCTAGTTTTTTAATGAGGATGGGGTGGGAGTAGTTGCTTTAGCATTTTTAAAAAATTATGTGTAGCCCAACTGACAATTTTGAGGTAGGATTTCAGGTTAATGTGACTGAAGCAGCTCTGGTCTGTCTCTGCCTTTTCGCTCCAACAACTATTTACAGGGAAAAGTCTTTATTAGCCATGTTATAATATTGTGAAAAATCACTGTATATGTTCATACAAACCAGGGATGGCAAACATGGCACATGTGCTACAAGTGATGTGGACACCCTCTGTGTGTGGCATGTGGCAGATCAGGGAGGGAGCATGTAGCACAGCAGCATATAGGACAGGAAGCAGAAAACAGAACAGCAGATTGAAGAAGGGAAAAGGGATTAGAGTGGCACTTGGGGAGGACAGGGGATTAATTTGTGGCACGTCTGCCAAAAAAGTTGTCCCCTACTGGTCTCAATGATCAACTGTGTTACTCTGTTTAACTTTTTTCTCAGAATGTCCTGATGGTTTACTGTGCAATTCTACTATTCCATCGCATTACAAGCGCTATACACACTTTTTTCTTGCTGCTAGTAGAGCAGGAGATTATCTTGTAGACTCTTCAGCACAAAGCCCAGAGAACAAGTTTACACATCCTGTTGCTGCTAAGTCAAGCTGCTTTCCAGGACTCTTGGATGAAATCTCACAGAGTGAGAAACAGACCAAGAATGTAAGAAATGCCCCAAATGATGATCTTACTTTCACGGTACAGACTTCAACACAAGCAAAATCTCCAAGTATAAGCAATGTAAATGCCTCCTTTTCCATGAATGTTAAAAAGCCCGAGCAGAATCTTCCGTTCACAAAGACAGCAGAGAATGATTGCCAGGTTCAGTTTTTTGGTTTTCCATTTTCTCAAGAAAGTGAAGTTGGGAGAGACCTGGACAGTCAGAATGACTCAGATCAGTTAAACCCGTTACTACCAGAAGGTGATGTCAGTGACTGTGAAATTTCCTACTCCCCGCTTAGGAGTGGTGTAGAAAGTGTTGAAGAAACGGAGGGTGAAGAGAATGAAGAGAAAGAAATAAAATCACGAAAGCAATTATTTCAAATTCAAAACTTTGATGAAGAGAACTCTGAAAAGGAGGAATCTAGCTGTATGCTGTATAACCAGTTTGATGATTCTCCATTTCAGCCTGAACTTGGATATGTCAACATTAAAATGGAAAGTTTTATAATAGAAAATGCACCTTGCAGAGAAGTGAATGCCCAAGGCCATTTGGCTGGTTGTGTTAGGCCAATTTCTCAGGGTCAGACAAACAGCTCTAATTTAGTATGTGCTGCTAATCAGTTAAAATGCCCACAAGGGGCACCAGTTGCAGAATTCTCTCTCTCTCCTAATCATGACAAAACTAGGAAGGAATTTGACTCACCAAAATGCAGTACCTCTGTTTCTAATACAGGTAATTGGAAGCTAAAAGATTTTCATGGTTGGAGTTGGGATTCTGTAGACTTGGCTATGAATGCTGAATCCTTTTCTTTGAAGGTCAAAGAAGAAGGTGGCAGTCCTCCTATGTCAAGGCAAAGTGTTATTTTGAAGGAATCAGGTGGCTTCTTAGTTGATAAAGGTGAAATGGATACTAACACAACAGATCAAATATTAAGTCAACAGAGTTTGCAGTCAGAGGGAAAAGGAAGCCTTCCTAATACAGCTAGTATACCCTTTCCAAGTGCAACCTCTAAAATGTTGCCATCTGCTTTTGCTGCAAATATCAACACCAAAGAATTGAAACAAATGGACATTGGTGTTTTCTTTGGATTAAAACCCAAAGCAATGGAAGAGAGCAAAGAAGAGAAGCATCCCTGTGAAGGAACACAGCCCTCAATTCTACCAGCTCCTAATGGAAAGAGGCCTAAGCGACAAAAGAGGAAAGCTGAAGGGTCTGTAGGAGACCTGGATACAGTACCAGTGAATTCAAATACAAATGGAGTTTGTGTAGGCCCAGCTTCTGGTACACAACGAAGGTGGAGAAAAAGATTTAGAGAATCCTCTTATACAGAAGATGGAACGAAAAAAAAATATTGTCCTTTCTACAAAAAAATACCAGGTGAGACTTTTTCATTAACTGGAGAGGTTACATATAGAGATGTTCAGGATGGATATTGCATTTTCCAGACATCTTTATTTTGTTTTGCTGCACTAACCATTTAGATGCCAAATCTTTCAAGAGCTCTCTTTATGCAGACCTCTGTAGAAATCGGTAGGATTCTGCTTAAGTGCATGTGCCTAAAAGAAGCTGATTGAAAGATTGGGGACTTAAACTATTAGAAGATTATCACTGATAAAACAAGTGTGTAGCATATAGATCTCTTTGTGAAGATATTTCTGTGAAAATAACAGATTTATTGTTTCATGGTATACGTTCTGAAAAGTATGATTTGATGGGAAGAGTTAAAAGCAGGCCAGGGATTTAGGAGTTGGGTATTATTGAAGCTCAATTAAGACTCGTGCTACTAAACACTTTTGGTGCTTTTGAAATCCGTCCTCTTAATATTTGCTTTTTCTAATTCATTAGCTATAGCTTTATTTTTACGAGATGGTCAACAGCCAATTATGGTCAGAATGTTATTTTTGTAATTATGTAGCAAATTTAATGGGTTTAAAAAAAAGATGTTTCTTTTTTTGCAGAGAGTAGAACAAACTCCCTGTTATAATAATCTTTATCATAACTTGTGTAAACTCAGTTAAAGTATAAAGTACCCAATATGTCCTGTTTTACCACTGACAGATGTATTCAAAGAACAAAGGTCAGTTATCTTCTAATTAACTGGTAATAACATTTAACAGTAATACTAAGTGGCTAGATGGAAATAGAGGGCTAACTGCATTGTCAGAGCTGAGTGGGGAATCTTTTGTTACAGTTATCTCATCTCCGGTGTGTATTTTAAGTTTTGGGTACTAGAACGTGTGTGTGCGCGCGCGCGTGTGTGCGCGCGCGCGCGCACACACACACACACACACACACACACAGCTACATGAATATTTTAGAAATAACATTTTCTCAGTTGACGAACTGTACTTGAACCCATTGGCAGGCGTCTATCAGTACTTGTATTTGGAGCTCTTGTAATCTTTATTTAAATCGGTAAAAGCTTTGTCCTTCCATACTGTTAACATGCAGCTCATGGTTGTAAACCACAACCATTTTCAGGTTGAATACAATGTTAATGGCTTTTCTGCTACAAAATGAAGATCTGACCAGAATCTGGCTGTATGGTACTTTCTGCATTTTATTTGACTTACTTTCATTGTATTTATTTTTGTAGGAACTGGTTTCACAGTTGATGCCTTTCAGTATGGAGAAATTGAGGGCTGTACAGCCTATTTCCTTACTCATTTCCATTCTGATCATTTTTGCGGTCTAACAAAAAACTTTACATTTCCAGTCTATTGCAACAAGGTAAGTTTTGGTGTTTATTTGATATTTAACCAAATAAAACTGTGAATGAAAATAAAAAACACAGACACGGGGCTAGATGGTTTGCTGTGATTGAGGTGTATTTGGCACAGCTGAGGTAGATAGGAACCCTTTGGCTCCTCCAGATGCCACTTGGTTATTGGATCAGCAACCTGCAAGCTACTTACAGTTGCATCAGCTGCTAACAGTCCCAAAAAACTGTTATAGTCATTAGAGAATAGAAAGATGAAAGGGATCCATTGCTATATTTTCTTTCCTATGGCCACTTTGCCTGATTCAGCTGTAAGGGGATGGCACAGAAGTCTCCATTATCAAGGGAGACTTTCCAGAACTCAGCTATTTAAATTACGTTGCAACAGTTAAGTAGCACAAAGAAATGGGAGCCATGAACATTCATAATGTACCTGTAATTTGTAGCTTACAGATCCTTCTTTCAATTTATTGTTTTTCTTTGTCTTTTTCCTTCAGCTATTAATGAAAGCATGTGAGACTGACCTGCCTTTTTACTATTCTGTTCTCTCAATTCTCAGTGTCTTTGTGTTTTGTAGATAACTGGCAACTTGGTGAAGAGCAAACTTCAAGTGCAGGAGCAGTACATCCATATATTGCCAATGGATAAGGAGTGTATGGTGAATGGGATCAAAGTGGTATTGCTTGATGCCAATCAGTATGTACCTTTGCAGCTGATGTGTAGATTTTGCAAATCTTGTAGGTCAAAGACAAAATATTTTCTAGCTAAGGAAAATTATTTTTAGAATAGCTTAGGTGACTGAAGAGCATAGGTTTCACTTTAAGTGATCTGGATATTTAGGAGTCCAAATGTCAATGGGACTTTGGTTTTTAAGTATTGAAGTCTATGTAAAGGGTTCAATCCTAAATTTATTGTGTGTATTTGAAACAAGTTCGTTGCCAGGATACCTAACAATCCCCAGGGTTCCAATTTATTAATTCTTATCACAAATCAGCCAGTTGATTCTCTAGAGCAATTCTGGTAGTATTGTCAAAAGAAAAAGGTTAAAAAGCAGTGAGAAACAACTTTCCAAAGTAGTCCAAAGAATGCTTGCTTCAATCCGTAACGCCTAATTTGAAACACTTGTGAGCACATGTGTTGAAAACCTATAGCTTCTACTAAGGTAATGGAAGCTTCCGGCTGTGAAAATAAGGCCTTTGGTGTCTCAAGCTGGGTATTAAAATGTAATTAATGCTGTTGAAATGAAGCTCTAAAAAGACCTGATTCCACGGTCATTTAAATTGGCCTTAAAACTTCTATTAAATTCTGTAGTGCAGTTAGATTTGCTTGCTCAAGGCCATATAAATAGTATGTGGTGCTGTCAAGATTAAAGTTCAGTATCTTTTGCTTCCAGTCTTGTGCTCATGCCGTATGCCTTGCGGCACCTTATTTGGCTGTGTATTGGAATAAAACTTTCTTTTTATGTGTATAAATATAAATTCAGCATTGTGTCACAGCTGGCTTGAATATTACTTATCTTAGGACTTGTTTATACTTTGAGTGATAAGATTCCTTGGAAGTCCTTTGAGAACCCTTTCTGGGAATGGGAGAAAACTGTTGATTATGTTGTTTGGATCCTCTTCTTCTCTTTTGCTTTCCCCTTCAATATAAAAAGAATATAAATTTTAGGTACAGAGTTCAAGTTTTTGGAGCACTTACCCACTGTGGCCTTTAAGCTGTTATCTCTACCCAATGCTTCCCTTTTGAGATTTTTTGTTTACCTTTTTCTGTAGATAATTCATTTCCAAAATAGTCTCACTTTGGCTTCCCATTTTAAGTGTTTGCCTTTCAAGGCAGATGGCTGCATGGAAAAAGCGCACTAATAGCAATTGATTCACAACAGTCGTAATAAAGAGAGAAGAATGGTTCCTACCAGCAGTCGGTTTTGAATGTAGGTGAATGCTTAAAATCTGTAAAGGTAACTTAAAAGCAAATATTACACTGAGCAGTTCACAGCAGTGAAGATGGCAGTTACAGTAATGAAATATCTATTTTTAGAAATACATAAAAATGACTCTTCCCTGCTGTCCATTAGAGCATTAATTCTTAACCAGGGTGCCTTGAGATCCTCTTAAGGTCCTTATAAGCTGCCTCACAATGTTAGCATTGTTATATGTGCAAACATGATGTACAAGATATTTTAAATAGGACTGCACAGTGTCAAAACCACTCTGACCTGTTAAGGTCTATCTGAGGTCCTTGCAGCAAGAAGAATTGCTTTATTTTCTATTTCATTCTTTTACAGAAAAATGAGGGGAGAAACTAAGAGTTTGCACTTTCTGAAGGGTACCTTAGTCTGAGGGGTGTCTTGAGTCTAAAAAGTTGAGAACCACTGTATTAGACCATCAAGAAAGCTACACATAATGCAAGGTCAGCCTGGAGCTTGTGACATACCTAACAGAACGTTGAACAGCTCAAAAGATAGCTCATGCTTGATTTAGGTTTTTAGGTATCTCTTTCACTTCTCATCTAACCTGAGAACTATAGCCTATTGATAGGACTTAAACAGGGTTTATGTCTTTTAGTTTTACTGGAATTTGAAAACAAACGAAATGTAGCCCTTAACTAGCATTTTGTAGCCCTAATATTCTGTATTACTAATCTCACAGCAGCACTGTGGGCAGGTAATCTATACTTTATGGATAAGAGAACTGGGGCAAAGTTTAATTAAGGGTGGCATGTCAGTGGCTACAGACAAGTCAGCATCAGAACTCGCATTTGACAGCAGGAGTTCCTTGCCCAAACTTCTGTGATTTCAAATATTTTATCCCTACTGCTGGTTGGAAGCAACACGGTTTTGGAGTAATGTATAAAATATGTATATAGAAATAATATGGGGTATGTGTGTATGTTTTCTTCCAGTTGTCCTGGTGCCACAATGATCCTTTTTTGCCTTCCCAATGGTACTGTTATACTTCACACAGGGGACTTCAGGGCAGATCCTTCTATGGAGCGTTATCTTCCTCTGATTGGTCGAAAAGTCCACACCCTTTACTTGGATACCACGTATGTTACTTTGACTTGTGCTAGTAACACATGTATGACTGGTAACAGCTAGTACTTTATATTTAAACTTGAAGTATAATATGACTTATTTCTGGCTCATATTTTATAATCCCTTTTCCCACCCGCTGTCCAAAAACAACAAAGGTGTGTGGGATAAAGATTTCTAAAGTATTTCAGATGGGCCCATCACTTATAAGTTATAGGTATAAATTGCTCACCTATAAAAGCAGAAACTTTATGAAGTTGAAACTGGCCTATGTGATCAAGTCGTTATGCAAGAAGAGAATAATCAAGTAGTAAAAGGCTGCTAAATGTTGGAGTCAGTGGTTTGTAAGTTTTCATTAGACCTTTCTGTCATCACACAACATTGTTTCTGTCCCATGTGTTAATAGGAGTTATCCTTTTTGTTTTGTTTTGTTTTTTACAGTTTTTATATGACTGACAAAAATAAAGGACGTAAGGATATTATTAATATTTGGTACAATGCCCAACTTTTTGGGAGGATTTGATACTTCAGAGTTTTCCTCCTTTCTATTTATAGGGTCAGTTGTTTAGATAAACGAATACTGGCAATGGCCTTTATAAACATTTATATAGAGAAAATATATATGCATATTATATGACTGGGTCTAGAATTTCATTTTTAAATGCCTTATTCCACAATGATTTCTTATAAGCGAATTGCTAATAGACTGAATCAATATTGATGAATGACTTGACTCTTTTCTTCTGCTGTTGTATATGTGCAAGTCTGACAGCCTGCTTAATAAAGTAAGATTTTTATGTTCTCTTATGCTCTCTTATGTTCATATTGTCTGTTACATATATGTATCCTGTTTCCATTTCTTAGATATTGCAGTCCTGAATACACCTTTCCTTCGCAACAAGAGGTTATCCAGTTTGCTGTCAATACTGCCTTTGAGACAGTAACATTAAATCCACGTACTCTGGTTGTCTGTGGCAGCTATTCCATTGGGAAAGAAAAGATTTTTTTAGGTGAGTGAGTATATTAGATCAAAGTAGCTATATACATCAGTACAAAGTAAACTTTTTCCCCAAAGGTAGCAAAGCCTTAGCTTAGATATTCTGTATAGAAAGAGAAAATTTGCTTATTTTGCCTTTTCATTTTTAGTTAAGTATTTATACTGTGTTAAGATGGAATGCTCAGGTGAAAACTTCTTTTCTTGGACCCACTTCAGTTTACAAATAGTAATGTTTTAAGAAATACTCAGAAAATCATTATTAGATAATCCTAACTTATCACCAAGGCTAAGTATGGACAGTCAAAAAAAATCCACGGCTGAATTTGATTCAATCTTCGCAAATTAGATGGAACTGATAAGCAAGTGAAGACATTGACTTCTGATCCTGGAAATGCAGCCAAATTCCTGCAGTGGACCAGGCCAGAAGCTGGGGATCACACCTCCCTGCTTGGCTAGAGCAGACAGCTTGGGCCAAGCCTACCCTGCCTATCCTGCTGGGGAGGGGTTGTGGGAGAAGGTGCAAAGCATCCTGGGATGCTGGGTGATTGTGAGTTAACTTGAATCTGGAGGGGACTTGGGACAGGAGTTCAGTAAACTGATTTAACCTCAATCAATTAAGTCCTGATACTACATCCATCCAGGTTATCTTAAACCAGTTTTGGCCATTTTGAAGTCAGTTTATGTTCACTGAACTTCTGTTGTGTTACAGATTTGATACAGATAAGTCATCAGAAACTGGTCATGTGTGATTTCTGTCCCTTGCCTAAAAGTTTCTGTATGGTTATGGTAACATCAGAAAACCGTTGTAACAAAGTACAGTTAATCAGATAGTTCATGCAATAATAAGGCTTGACTCCTCCAGAGTGCCAGAATGAACATCAACTCAGACCCCAATCTCAAAGTAACATCCTGTTTATGCTATTTTGTTCCATTACGTTAGCTACTTGGCATACAATGTTATGTCTGTCAGTATTTATTGAGTGTTGAACTATGGGGGACACAACTTTTATCAGCTGTCCAAAAAAATTACTATTTGCATCTGAAGCTGAAATGTATCATGACTAAGTCTTCAGCTGTGTGTGTTTTCAAAGATGCCCAACAGTATTTCTGAACTCCTAATGTCCTGAAACCTTTGTCGTATTTGCTTCACATGACACTGGTTATTTAATAATGTTTTGGCTTCTCGATTTACAATTAGAGGACTAGTTATTGTAGTTCTTTAACTTCACCCAAATATATATTCTATTAGTTTTTCCAAGTTCGTTTTTTAAATAATGTTGGGAATCCTTGATATTGATTTTTTTTTTTTTTTTTTTTTTTTTTTTTTCCCCCCCCCCCCCCCTAAAATAATTTAGATTCACTTCCTGAACATCCATTTTGTACCTTCTCTGGGTTTACCAATAATGCATAGAACTTTTGAAGTAAATATATTTCTATTAGAAATTAAAAATAATCCACATCAATCTATTTAATAAACCAAACTATTTTCTGGTTTTTGTGCCCTACACTTCAATCAGTTATAATGTAGAAAGAAAAATAAATATAAGTTTCTAAAGCAGGCAGCCCATGCAGCATCTGTGTTTTTTTAAATTTTAGACATGGTGGCCTTATCTCACTGAAATTCAGACCAGCCTTAAACTCTCAAGCTCTCCCTTTCCCCCTTTTCAAACACTGCATGAGGTTCCAGCTTTTTGGTATATCAGTGTATTTTCTGGAAAATCAACATTGCTAAAGTATTATTTTATTTCAATATTTGTTTTATTCTTTCTCTTCACCTCTCCCAGAAGATGACACAGTTATTCCAAATCTAATCTCCAAAATCAGCATTTACTAATAGTTATCATGGTTTTCCCCTATCTTTTTTACAATATGAATGAACTATTGTATCTTTTGGTAACGGTGGAGATTTATTTATTTATTTAATCTATGATAACCACTTGTTTTATATGACAAAAATGGTGTCCATATCTTTAATGGTAACTACTGAGCTAGTAAGATGATCAGGAACATCCCAGAAGCAGCAGAGGAAATCTTTATTACTTGTCAAGCTATATTTTGTTTATTTTTTCCCTCCCTTTGTCTACAGCAATTGCTGAAGTTCTTGGTTCTAAAGCAAGTATGTCTCGTGATAAATACAAAACCCTTTGCTGCTTGGAGTCAGCAGCTGTTAATTCCATCATTACCATGAATTGGAATGATACTTTGCTTCACGTTCTTCCCATGATGCAAATTAATTTTAAGGTATGTTTGGAAGGTATCATCTCTGTCTGTTTGGCTAATTTGGGGGATGGGATGACATAACGGTAATGTTTTGCCTGGTGTTTTTAAGCATCTGTCAGATCGTATTAATCTAGTGATGTTTTGATATATAGCAACACATTGAAAAGGAAACACAATTAAACATTAATAAGTGACTTCAAACCTGATGCACAAGAAGTGTAATTTGACGCTAATGCAGAGTGCGTGCAGGATAGATAAGATGAGATGAGACTTGTTCAAAGGCTTGCTGTTAGTAGTGAGCTTTTTTGAAGTAGATTTAATGTAATGATTGCAGGATCTCTCCTACTAACAATTAATATACCACGACACACTGTCCCTGCTTTCTGTTTTTCTGTGGGTTTTTTGCTAACTTGCATGATGTAAAAGAAGAGTGGAAGAGTTTTCAGTCTGAGACTTCTTTTCTAGAATGGATACTTTCACCTATAATCTAGCCTTTAAAAAAACAAACAAAACAAAAAGCGGTATTTAAAAGTAGTAAAAGTACCTGAATCCCAGGGCTAACTTTTGGCTTTAAAATGAGGAAAATGTAATTGTAAAAATGATTTTCTTTTCTTTGTTGCTGTGCTGAAGATCAGCACAAACCACAGAGGAAAATATTAGGAGAACGGTGAAAGTGGTATACAGTGGGATTAAATGTATATTGTGTGCACTTTTTTCCTTAATCCTTTAGTATTTCATTTAACTAGACTCTGATAAGTTGCTTGTTAAACATTAAGTTTAACCCCCTTTTTAAAAGAAGAGCGCTCTGTGGTTTGTTTGCTTGTTTTTTTTTTTTTTCCTTTTCTTCTTAAAGTTGACTTTAGGTAATTGCCACACTGGCTGATTTCCAAAGAGAAATTTGGATTTAATTTTGGTGATCGTTCTGTGTATGCTCATGAATTTTGTACTGATAGTGCTAGATCAGTAGCTTAAAAGATGTTCCTTATTCACAGCACCGCTACAATACAATGTAATCTTCTGTATACTATATAGACTTTATATATAGGTACATAAAGTTCACTTTCCTTACTGATTCAACTCATTTGTGTTTAGTCTCTGCTGAAACTGCTAACAATAGCACCAGGTTTAGGGACGGTTTTTATGATCTAAACCCAGAAACTTCATTATAGAAGTTGTTGGAAGAGATAGAAGTGTTTTTGTTTTAGTTTAAAGGAAAAAAGAATACAAGTTAATTCATTCCCTCTTTTTTTATTTGATAGATGAAGGTTAAGATTTGGAGGATTAGATCAACATCATATAATCAGCACAGCAGGAAGAGACTGTCTATTTGTTATATGCCAAGTAAAACAATTAACACTTCTAAATACAGGAGAAGATGTAATGTAGAATCTACCAATTTAATTTTGGTGTGTTGGTATTCATCTATGCCCTGAATGAAGCAAGTTTCAGTCATTAATGACCCATGAAGGCATCTAGTTTTTTTGTTTTTTTTTTTTTTTAATTGACCAGTCTTGCAAAAAAACCCACAAACCCCACACACGCAGAACATGGAGTATGGCAAGTTGAACAAAATTAGTTTGGTTTAATAAGTTGTAAAAAGATGTAATAGAGATGGGAGGACTTGTGTAGGCATTAGGGTAAACCTGAGACTCTGCATTCTTGTGTTCTAGTTCCTTACCATACCTACGCATAACTGTCTGCCACAATCTTCTAGTGTCACGTTGGGCAAGTTGCTTAATCTCTCTTGTCTCACTTCAGCTTTTGGTTTAGGGAGGGCAAATTGCAGGAACAAAGAAACCCAGGTTTTTGATGGTGGGCTTTAAAAAGTGGGGAATCAGGTGGGTCCAGAAAGAATTCTGGAGCCTTACAGGAAATGTTAAGATGGGGCAAGAAGAAAAGAACATACTTTTGTAGAAAAAGTAGGCCTTCTTTAACTACAGTACTAGCTATATGACCTGAGGGGGCAGGAAACAGAGGTGCTATGGTTTTCAAGGATAAGCTATTCACTGCAGAAGAAACCTGGGATTCCATATGACTTTAACCAAATCTCAAATAATTGTCTGCCCTGATGAAGAAAATAGGGCAGAAAAGCTTATGTAAAGGTTGCTACGGTGTATGTGTGTCTTTTGTGCTAAGGAAAGAGTCTTGGCGTTTGAGCCACATCATGTGATGCCATTCCTCCACCGTGTGTCCATGAAAAATTAATCTGAATCCAGGGAGCCCATGCAGTTGGAATTATTGGACTACATATACTTGAACTTCTGAAAAATCTAAGCCAGTGGTTATCAACCAGGGTATGCATAGCCCCAGGGGTACTTGAGAAGCCCTTAGCAGGTACGTGCGGGCAGGCGGGGACAGAGCACCGCCACACACCATCCTGTGACACTGTGTAGGTGCTGCCTGCCCGGCCACCTGGAGTACACAGAGCAGGGGTTTTCAACCTTTTGGGATCAAAGCCATCAGCCCTAGTCCCAGCGGCTAGGCAATGAAGTCACAGGAATTTCAGCTCTTAAAAAGGTGTAAAAGACAGATCTATATCTGAGAGTGCCTAAAGACCTTGTGAGAGTGGCTGAACCCTATTGTGTCTCAGAGAACCTTAGGAGCACATAGGTCCTGTAGATTGCAACCTAACACAGAGGTCACTAGATATGGGGTATCACCAGGGATGCAATATGTAACCCCCAGTATCCTTAAATTACATGGAGATTAGAAACTTGGTTGTATGACAGTTAAATGCTTAAAGGTAAACCATGGTAGCATTCTTTGGCTCTTAATGTCAGTAAATGTGAGAAACTCAAAAAGACAGACAAGGTACTTTGGATAAATCCGATTATCTTTTTTTAGACCAACTCAAATAGTTGGAAAAATTCTTTGCAAGCTTTTGGGTACAGTTACCCTTCATCAGAGCTCTTCCTCTGCCTGGCAAAGGGTAATTGTACCTGAAAGCCTGCAAAAAAAGAATTTTTCTAACTATTTGAGTTGGTCTAATAAAAGATATTGGATTTACCCGAAGTATCTCGTGTGCCTATGTCCTTAGACCAACATGGCTACAAGTTACGCCCCAGAAACTCAAAAAGATATCAACGCCAGTAAATTAGCTAGCACCTGACAGTTGCTTGTTTGGGTCAAAGAATATTATATTTTCTCATGTACAACACATGCTTTTTCCCAAAAAACAGCTACTGAAAATGTCTGTGCATATTATGATATGTGAGAAATATAATGGGAACAGTTTCTGCTGGTAAGAGCAAATGTTAAAGTTAAAATCTTCACTGGATTCACATGGAGCAGAACAGCAAGCAGGCTTTTCTCCCTAGTTGCTTGCTAATCAGTTATTTATTTCAGTAAAAGATATTTTTTCCTTCATTTTGCTGTTCAAAAACAAGAGGTATATTATATTCTGGGGCATGCTGTAAGAGAAAATATGGTAATATAATAACAGTATGCTCCATATAAATGTTATCCTGGGTGCTTGTTTTTCTCTTGTCCTGAATTGCTGGCTTGGTATCTGAGAGAGCAAGTTGCTTTTAATAGATCTCATCACTATGTGCCAAATTACTTTTAAGGGATACCACCCACGTATCTCTTTGGGTCTGTCCCTGCTTGTTTTCACATGCATTCTGTTCAGTCCCAAACCTGTTCTCTCAACTCTGGCTCATTCATTCATTTCTGAGACCAATTGCAACTTCTCGCTCATAAGCGTTAGGTGGGTAGCCTTAGTGAGGTTCTAGTTTGGTACTTTAAGCGCACCTGTGCTTTTGTACATCACTTGCCTTTTAAATAATACATATTATTAGTTGTTTGCATTGTGATATTCCCTGGAAATTGTAAGTCATACACCTGAGTCTGTTGCACTAGGCTGTGTAGGAGCATGTAATAAAAACCTATGCATGCTCCAAAGAGCTTACAGTCTTGACACCTGTGAGGATTTTGTTCCAGTTCTACTGCTTTATATTAGTAATACTTCCATTTTGATCTTTTTTGCAGGTAAAGAATTTTAAGAAGTTTTAAAACTCAAACAAGGTTCCCATGATTGAAGTCTAGTTGACAGTGATAGCCCATGATAAAATTTCAGCTACCAAAGAATACTTCCATGTTTTCACAACTGGAGACAGTATTCCCTGCATCAAATCCAAGTGATCTTGCCTTTTACCTTCACCAGTCAAGTTTTAATTTTGCCCCTTTTACTCAACAGTGATATTTTTTTATTTTATTTTTTAAAATTAGAACTGGTGTGGAACAAAATCATCCATGAGAAGGTACCTGGAGTAGTAGCTCAGTGTTTATTATATGATCTTAAATTTGCTTTCTTCACTTTCTGTAGTGATTGGGTGTACATCCATTGCTTTCTCAAATTAGCCATCGAATACAATGTTGGCAAGTCCACAGATTGGCTGGGTTGGTTTAGTCGGATGATCCTGTCTTGAGCAGGATTTTGTGAGGTCCCTTCTAGCCCTACTTTACTATGATCTGCTCCTTGGATTTATTGGGAAAGTTTGTTAAAATGTTATCTATAATTTTAACAACATACTGATTTTTCTAAAAACTCTTTGCAGGACACATGCACATGTTCTCTTGTCATCTCAATATATCTCCAGGAAGTGACCGTTTTTCCCCTAATATTCCATAGAATTTTTTATTTCCTCATGTCTTCCTTTCCTTTCCTTTTATTCTGATCTGAGTACAATTCCCAAAGAAAGGAGGTGGAGCCATGTGGTGGTGTGATTTGTTTTTGTTTGACTGCTTAATTCCTGATTTTAGTTTTGTTTGGACTCTTCCTCTCCACATTGATTTCTAGGAGGAATATCAAAACAGGATATTTCTTTCCCCTTTGGAACAAATTACTTTATGATTTGCCAACATGCAGTTTAGCACTTTACATATGGTCTATGGGCACTATATTAATTCAGCAGATAACTTTACTAAAAGTCCACAAGCAGTTGGTCAAGGGAATGGTTCTCAAAGTTTTTAGACTTTAAGCACTCCTTGGAAGATGCCAGCTCTTAGTTTTTACTGCATTTTGACTGCAGAAAAAATAATAAAACATTTGTGCTTTTGCAAAGAGCTTAGAAAGACCACAGCAGGTCAGAATGCTTTTTATGCCTTGGATTACTATTTGAAATCTCTTTGTTTTAACTTATGAATTGTGTTTGCCCACACAACAGTGATAATATTGCGTGACACCCTTTAAAGGATATTGAGACACTGCAGGGTACCCTGGATTGGAATCACCTAGTTAAGGATATATAATATACCACAGAAATCTCTCTCCTTCTCCCTCAAGTGCTGATCAGAGTTTAAAGATATTTTTTTGTGTCAACATCTACAGCCTAGAACAGTAGTTTTCAACCTGTGGTCTGCGGTCCCCTGGGGGTCTGCACTTCCATTTGAAATTTCCAAGGGGTCTGCAGATTGAAAAAGATAAAAAAACTACTGGCCTAGAATTAAATACTAATACTGTACTCCAGGGGTGGCCAACCAGCATAGGGGCTACAAATAACATGGGCAGCCTCTGTTTGTGGCATGCAGCAGACAGGGAAGGGGACAATCAGCACAGTGGCTGATTTGTAAGACAGGGAGCAGAAAGCAGATTGGGCAGGGGATGGGAATGAAAGTGGCACTTGGTGCTAATTTGTGGCATGCCTCCCAAAAAGTGTGGCTGACCCCCACTGGTCTACTCTAAGGTTTAACAGCAACAAGGTTCAAACCCAAGTAGCAGGTTGCACATTAGGTGGTTCAATGACAGGACCAGGGCTGTATGTACTCTTTTGGTCTCCAGACTCATCAGCTAAGCTCTATGCTGTGCAAATGGAGTCCATCTCTCTCCATATATAAATCACCTATCATGCAGCAGATCTGCACCAGTGACCACTGCAGCTGTGAAGCTAAATATATCACTTTTTTCATCTTCAAGGCACATTACATTGAATAACTTTAATTCTCACAATATCCTCTAGCTACACTGGGAAGGGTGAGTCACACTGCATCTGAAGAAACAAATCCAAGCCTGGAAAGCCAAGTATTTTCTCTCTGCTTTGTAAGATAACATCCCTGCTTATTATCCAGGTCAGAGAACACAACTCAGATAGAAATTCTCCGTTGGCAATCACAGGTTGGGCTGTTTTCAGCATGGGACTTCGTGAGTGGTCAAATATTAGCTGGTAATTTTGCAGTGTTTTTGAGAGACCTTTCTTGAGGAAATGATGCCATGTACTGGGGGAAAAAACTCCTTCGAGCATTATACTGGGATGGAGGCAGAATGAAGGGCTATAGACTTATGTTTTGCATGTCTTTATTGCATATCCTTTGTGCAAAGTTCTGTTTTGCAAGTACAGGGAAAATAAGACATGAATTACTGCAGGTAGGCAAATGGATTTGATATGGGAAACGCAAAGGCAAAAAAGTGGTGATTCAAAGAGATGGGCTTTTTCAGTGAACTGTTTAGTTTGACTACAGTAAAATCCTGGGTTTGTCTAATGTATTGAAAAATACTTGCTCTTGAATAAGCAAGCTGAATGTAAGTACCATCAGGGCTGATGGTAAATTAACTAATTGTATTTGAACCTTCTCATACCCTGTGGAATCCATTTGCATGCACTGCTGACTTCAGCAGCCCAGCAGATAACAGGCTGTCGTGGTGATTGAAGGAAGTTGATTGAGGAATTAATTATATTTTCCATTTCCAGAGGATAGACATATTGGTGCAATATTGATTGAAAGACTAAAAAGAGGAGTTGTAATAAGGTGTTTTTTTTTTTAATAATGCTACTTATGAATAAGCTTTGAAATAAGCCATTTTCTTGCAGGAAGAAGTCTGTCTCTTTGCTAAAAGTAGTATAAAAATATTCCCCTGGCATCCCATGAACATCTTTTTGTAGCAGTTTAGATGGCAAAATCTCACTCATTTTAAAATCAGAGTAAAAGAAGTCCAAAAAAACAAGACTCTTCAGGGCAAAGATATTACCTTTGTACATGTGCTGTGCATGTTGCTGCTGTCATGTACAAATATAAGGATAAGATTTTCAAAAGCATGCCAGCATCTTAGGCCCACAAGTAACCTTCAATGGGACTAAAAATCTCCCTCCCCTCTTAAATATTATCACCATGTACCTGATTAATAAGTTCAAAATGAAATGTGCAAACTGGTACTACTTTCTGCTGTAATTTTTCTTACTGGAACGTTCTGTACTTTGATTACTCCAGTGCTTCACAAGACAATACACACCATGCTTGCCCTATTAAAATCTATGTCAGTCTCTTTAAAAATGAAAAATATTGGGGAAATATGATCCTAGGATTCTATTTGCTAAATGAAACCAAGCCTGTTACATTGCACCAAGTATGTGAAACCTTTGAAGAATAGTTTTAGTGCCCACGGCTGAATAAACAGTGCGTGTGGGATGGGGGCAGGGATGGGGGGTTTTTTGGGTTTTTTTGTTTTTTCTTGCGGTTCTTTTCAAATATACTGGTCTTGGCAGTTCTGTTACTGTCAAGTTTGTCTGGAAGTCTGGTAAATGCTGGTAAATGTGGCAGCATCACAAGCAGCTTTTTACTTCAGTGGTCACAAACTCTTCAGCATCTGCCAGGTTGGTTAGAACTCCTTAGCAATTCATCTCTTTCATTTTAAGTAGTCTTTTTTTCAGCTTGTGCTTTATTCTTGCTTCTGGCTTAGTGTCTGCTCTGAAATCTAAAATCTTGTGGTCAAGTATATAATGTACATGTAATATATCGACAGGATACCTTTAAAACTGTTTTCTTAGTTTGGTTTTTAAATAATACTTATCTTAATCCCAAAGTAGGATTGCAATTTCATTCCCTTTTCCCCACAGAAATGAAAGTTGTCCTTGCCAAACCAAACCTTTTTTCAGGTTAGATTTTTTTAGGATTAGGATTGAAGAGATAAGGGACTTCATTTCCTCACTTCAAGTTCAGTTTGGATTTTGAAAAGCTAAGCATAGTTTTGTGATCACACAGCCTAAATACAGTCATTCAAAAAACCCAAGCCTGAATTGATTCAATTTTTGCAGGTTACTCTAAACTCTAGATTTCACTTGCTTGCTGGTTCATAGACATTAACTTTTGATTCTGGAAATGGAGGCACATGTCTGCAGTGACTCAGGGCACTAGAGCCCTCCCTTTCTTTCTGCAGGGAAACTGGGCGGGTGGGGGCGCAGCCTCAGCCTTAGCCACTGGCAAGGCAGGTGGATGGCAGGGCCACGCCGGCCAGTCGGCTCTGGCTGTGCCCCTGCTTCTGTCACTGTAGCAGCAAGGGTGGGGGGTTACCCTGAGGGGCTGCTCCGTTCTGGCCAGGCAGTGCCAACTATGGTCCTCGGGGGAGGGGGGAGAAATAAACCCTGTCCCTGCCTGCTTAGCCTTAGGGGGCTGTGCAGTGCTAGTGTCTGGCCATGCCCCTGCCCTAGCTAGACAGCCGAGGGGCAGGACCAGCACTGCTGTCTGGAGGAGACAGGACAGCCCAGCCCGGGGCTGAAAAGCATGCTGGGATGCTGGGGGACTGGTTTAACCTAAACTAGGAAGGGGTCTGGGACAGAAGTTCCATAAACCAGTTTGACCCAAACCAGTTAAGTTTGATGCTACATTCAGTCAGGTTTATCTTAAATCAGTTTCGAGCATTTTGAAACTAGTTTACGTGCACTGAACTTCTGTTCCGGGTTTAAAACAGTTTCTGATTACTTAAACCAGTGTATGCATAACTTCTGTCCCTAGCCACAAGGCCCAAGCTCTCTAGCCAGCTCAGGTACTGACTTCCTTTGCTACTTCAGATTTGACCACTTAATTTGCTCTATTTTGGTGTTCTCATCTGTAATAAAGAGTTAATAATATTTTTTTTGCATTTGAAAAGTATGTGAGATTCTAGGATCTTGGCAAGTGAAAAGTATTGACCATTACTGGCATACCCCTTAAAATATAAGATGTTCTTGAATTTAAGATTCATCCAAATATTTTGGCTGAATTGAAGAAACAAATAAAGCTGCATCTATAATGCTTATAAGAGCTTTTTTAAACTTACATTTTAGACCTAGGCCGCTTTTTGAAGAAATGTTTTGTTTTAAAAATTGTCCCTTATATTCAAAGGAACACAGTAGTTTATAGACGGCCTATATTTTAAAAGAAAAAGAAAGAAGATCTTTTGGATTACAAATGTATAACATTTTGTAATTTCAGGTCTCTCTATCACCAAATCCAAACTTTTTTTAGGTTTGAATCATTGTAGTGGTGGTCCTTTAATAAACTTCTTCCTATGCTCTCTTCTGTTCACAGGGATTGCAAAATCATTTGGACAAGTTCTCTGAGAATTTTGACCAAATTTTGGCTTTCAAACCTACTGGATGGACTTATTCGGATTCCTGCCACTCGCTAGTAGAGATCAGACCTCAGATAAGAGGAAGGATCGTGATTTATGGTAGAAATAATAGAAATGGTTCAATAATTTAATTCTAGTGGATTGTTTTTGGACATTTCATTCCAGCATCTCTTACGACTCATCATAACCAGTAATTGTTATCACCACTCAGAGAAGCTGAGCAGATAAATCTGGCTAGCAATCCACCAGTCATCAATTCTAAAATACTGTAAATACAGATTTTAGGTAGTTTCCTTCTTATAGCCTTGTTTCAATAAAATAGTTGACTTTAAAAGCTTGGTCCCATTGAAGTCAATGGAAGCAGCTTGGGCTTCAGTAAAGCCAGGATTCCACTCTGTAAAACCATGAGACGCCCTGCATCTGCTGGAAAGCTTCCATTGGTTTCAGCCTGCTTCCTACTAGTTCTTACTGGTGCAGTTTCTGAAATAAATCTGTAAATGAAATTTAATTTCCTAGAAAATCTCTCCTCTCATCACTTAAAAAACTACGTAGTTTCACTTGGCTTGCACTGATGACAGACATTGTAGGTAATTCTTACAATAATGAAGCCTGAACTTGTTCCTTAGTGTAAACTTTAATTTAAAATTATTTTTGGCTTCAGAATCTTTAATAAGATTTCAGGTTAAGCAGACTGACTGAAGTACCTCTGCATTGTTTTGTTTCAGGGATTCCTTACAGCGAGCATAGCAGCTACACGGAAATGAAACGATTTGTCCAGTGGCTGAAACCACAGAAAATCATCCCCACTGTAAATATTGGTGACTGGAGAGCCAGAAATTCAATGCAGAAGCATTTTAAAGACTGGATGACTGAGGCTGCTGGATGTAATTAGAAAGAGGAAAGAATGTGCGTTTCATAGGGGACATGCCTGGAAAGAGATTGAACTTGCCAGGAATTCCATCTAACTGTCTTTTCCCCTAAGCTTGGTTAAAGCAGAAACAAGCTGCTATTCTCCCTTAAAGACAGCAGCAAGATAAAGGTGCCTAGTTCTCTTAGGTAACCATTAATTTTTTTTTGTAGCTTACATTTCAAACAATTGCAAATATACGCTTCAGGTTATTTGGAAAAATACTTCAGAAAACTGCTTAAGCAAGTGCCTAAATTTAACACCTGGGTATTTGAGTTGGCTTCACTAGAATTATTCAGATGCTTAATATTAGGTATGCTCTCTAATTCTTTGCTGCATGGTGACTTAGGTCTTATCCTTTTCCTCTGCCCTGTACATGAATGCTGTCATTCTAAAAATGGCAGAAAAAGAAGTGAACCATGATTATTCTCATGGGTTGTTTTTTTTTGTTTTTTTGTTTTTGTTTTGTTTTTTGATTGAAGCTATCTGCCTCCTATTGATCTAATGTATAACAGATGTATGACACTGGCCTATAAAATGTAGAACAAATGGTACAGGAGAAAATTTGAACAGAAGTGAGATTTCCAGACCTTTTAAATGAATTAATTTTCTGTAATTTCAATTTCAAGATGAAGTATTTTTATAGGAAATGACAGCAGTGGAAGAGGAGATGATACTAAGTTTAGGAGAACTAAATTTACATAAACTCAGGGTGCAAAGTGACTTGTTTTAATTGGGCAAAACTGAGTGTTGTAACACTAAGGAGTTCACGTGTACGTACAAAGCTTACATCATGAATAGAGGATTGGTTTGTAGTACTACAACAGAGTATAAATGGGTATTTTGGAGAATAAATCATTTTAAAAAAAGAGATTCTTATCCTTGTATCTTTTATATTGCATACAAGAAACTTTTGTAATTATTTTAAATAAAGAACAGAAATTAAGCCTGTTGTATTTTTTTTACAGTAGAATGAAGTAGATATGACTGTGTTGCAAGAGTAATCCAACAAACTGCCTTGCACATGGAATGCCTGTTGAAGCTATTGTGCGTTACTTGTGTACTGGGCACGTAGGATTACCTACTTGCCACTGTCATGCAAATGTTTCAGCTCATGCATTAAGCAGGAGAACAGTTCATTTTGAAGTCAAAGAAACTTATCCACCACTTAAAGTTACTTTAACATTTGCATGTTTAGTTCCTAAGTCTAATAGTAGTGGTTCTCAACCTTTTTAGACTCAAAGCACCACTCATTTGGCTTGAAGCACCCCTTGTTAGACTTGTTAAGCACCCTCCAGAAAATGCTGGCTATTACTTTTTACCTATTTAATGAATACAGAAAAATAGAGTGATTCTCCTGTTGCAGAGAACTCCAACAAACCACAACAGGAAAGAATATTTTTAATGCTATTTAATTCCTATTTGAAATCTCTGGCCACGTCCACACGAGCATGGACATTTGGTTCCCTGGGGACAACTAGTGGCAGCACACCTTGTGCTGCTGCTAGTTGCCCCTGTGGAATGGCTGTGCCCCACGCCCTTTGGCATGTGGCAGATTACCCCATGTGGGGTAGGGGAGACTGGGGCCAGCAGTCTTATCTGGGGTCCTGCAGACCTGGGGATGCAGCTGCAATGATCCTGCTGCTCAGAACCTGGCCGGCAGCCAGAGCATGGCTCCGTTTTTGTGCACACACTGCCCCTGTGTGCACTGCTCCACCTATTTTTTGCGCGGGGTGGGTTTTTTTGGTTTGTTTGTTTGTTTGTTTTGTTTTGACCCCTGGATATCCAGGGATCAAATCCTCCCCCTCCACCCCACCCCCAATGCTGCTCCCTGACAGCATGGAGAACAGCTGAATGTGCCTTATGTGGCACCACAGATGTACCTTCAGTGCCACATATTGCACAGCCATGCTCATCTGGATGTGGCCTCTGGGTTCATCTTATGAATCGTGTTTACACACCTAACAGTGCTAACATTACATAGTGTCCCACAGCACCCTTGATTTTAAGGCACTACAGAGTGCCATAGGAGATCAGAATCACTGATCTAATAGAAGCCGGTCTTTTTATTTCCCCAAAGCAGGAGGGCAAGTGCAAATAGTGGCTATAGTGATGTAAGTTTTTTCAATGGTGCTCTTTTACTGAGTCCTGTGTAGTGTTAGAAAAATTGACAGTTTGCAACCACATACTTCAGTTTAATATTAGACTTAAATGTGTAAATAAAGTTTTGTTCTGGGATGAGTTCAGGCTTCAAGAAGATATAAAAATTAAAGAGTGCTTAAAGAGTCCACAGTCCACAAAAAGAGTGGATAATCTGAAGCCTCTTTTATACTATTTTACTGAAGGAAACATTTCTATAAGCTATGCAAATATAACTGGACGCTTACTATTATCACTGAGATAAGTGATTCAGAAATAGTTTTACTGTATTTGCATTCCTACGTTCTTGAAAAAAAAATCTCCCTGTATAAATCAACTGCAAGTTTTTCAATGATAAGCAAGTTCATTTATACTCGCACTGAAATGTCAAGTAACAAATAATTTCATCTTCATTAAGCAGTTCAGCAGTCTGAAGTTTTTGCTTTAACTAGTGCCAAAAATGTATGATTAATATCAATATGTTATGAGAATTTCCTTCATCATACAAGCTATTTAATATGGCAGATCCCAAAAGCTACATTTGGGGTCAGTCACTGGATCATGACAAGCTGGATTCAGCACTGGGGCAGTGCAAATGATTGCTTTTATGTTCCATCCCAATGCTGGGGAAAACCCAATTAAAGCTGCTCTGTAGCCTCTCTAATTTGTATTGGCTGGAAACGACTCTTGATCATTTGTTCCACTATCCCAGAATCCCCATTGTGCACTTGTTCTCTCGCTGTGCCCCCTCCTCTCTCAGACCTAAGCAAGGCATAGTGCAAATCTGCAACTGAATTGACATGTTGACTTGGGACCTTGCTTGGATAGAGTGCACCCTTAGCAAGTTTGCAGATGACACCAAGCTGTGGGGAGCAGCAGATATGCTGGAGGGTAGGGCTAGGATTCAGAGCAACCTAGACAAATTGGAGGATTGGGCCAAAAGTAAACTCCATGAAGCTTAATAAGGAGAAGTGAAAAGTCCTGCACTTAGGATGGAACAACCGCATGCCCCAGTATAGGCTGGGGACTGACTGGCTAAGCCACAGCTCTGCAGAAAAAGACCTGGGGGTTACAGTGGACAATAAGCTGGATATGAGTCAACAGTGCACCCTTGTTGCCTAGAAGGTTAACGGCATCCTAGGCTGCATTAGTAGGAGCGTTGCCAGCAAACTGCGGGAAGTGATTATTCCCCTCTATTCTGCACCAGTGAGGCCACATCTGGAGTATTGTGATCAGTTTTGGGCCCCCCACTACAGAAAGGATGGGGTCAGATTGGAGAAGAGTCCAGTGGAGGGCAACAAAAATGGTATGGGGACTGGGGCACATGACTTATGAGGAGAGGCTGGGGGGCCTGGGCTTATTTAGTCTGGAGAAGACAAAATGGAGGGGATTTAATAGCAGCCTTCAACCCCCTGCAGGGTGGTTTGACAGGACAATGGGCTCAAGTTGCAGCAAGGAAAGTTTAGGTTAGATATTAGGAAAAGCTTTCTCAGGAAGCTTTTCACAGCTGCATTGTCCTCCTACTTCCACAACTCTGTTCTCACATCCCTACAACATCCACATGCATAAACACCACACACTTGGTAAGCTTGCAGCCTTCCATGGTAGTTGTTTATCACTTACTCTGTTTAATAATGAACCACATTAAACTAGTTTTCAGTATAAATAATCTGTTTGCAACAGGTGTTGCCTTTTTCCAGCTCTTCAGGGTACAGCACACAATCAGAATTGCCTTCTGATTGGGTTTTGAATGGCTTTTGTTGCCCAGAATAAAGGATTTAAAAAAGGAATGGTCCTTGAAACAAACTGCAAAGTTGATATATCTTGGAAAACATGTGCTGACATTGGCAAGAGCTGGTCTGACCCACTTGCAGCTTTTCAGCCAGTTAATTCTGTCCAGATTTGGAGCAGATGCTGATAGTCGCTCTTCAATCTACAAAGCAGGAGTGGGATGGTTTTTGTTCCTTTCTTGTCAGTATGTATCGGTCTGTTTTCATTTCCATACTGTCCTGTTAGGTATTTGCACAGCAGCCCTCTAGCTGCTTCCGTTCTTCTGTATTTCTGCTTTATATTTCCACCCCTGCCAACCCTTTCTCGTGTATGTTCCTCAACTCTTCAACATTTCATCCACCTTCACATTTCTCCCACTCTCTTGGCCGCCGCCTCCTGGAAAAAATGGCTGTTGTGAGGCCAGACTAATCTTTTCATTCACTTCATTGTAAAGAAAGAAGATTAATAGCGGGAAGTGGCTGCTTAGATTACCAAGCAGGACATATAAGCAGCAGTGGAAAACCATTTAAGCAAGAATTCTGTGGAAAGATTTGTAACGGGGCCCTATCTTTTTCCATTTCCTTTTCTAGATTGTTCTCATGCAAGGTTTCCTAATCACGGCAGATTAAATCTTATGAAGAGCAGCAGTGTGTGATGCACCTGATTTTTGTTCCAAATTCTTGTTGCTACCATGCATCAAGCTATGCTTTAGGCAAAGGGCACCTCGTGACGACTGATTTTTGTCTTCAGTGGAACAAGCAGCAGGAATGCAAACCTCTTTCTTGTTCACAAAGCATGGAATGAAATGGTTGAGGACTTTGGCATCAAAACGAAGTAACGTAACAGGAAGGATTGCGCCCTGTGCTCAGTAGTTGGGAAGTTCTGCTAAGACTTCTCTGAAGACAACCTGGGTAGATGCAGGTAAAACTAACTGGAACTTGGGAATACGAAGGAACACATTTGTTGTGGAAACAGGCCTGTGAGGGTTTGTCACTGAAGTTGGCAGCCAGGACAGGTTATCGGATGTTGGCAGGGAGAATATTAACTTTCTGCTAAGCAAAGTGGTCCTGCTCTAGGATACTCCTCCAGCTTGTCTGGTGATGGCAGTCAAGGCAGAGATGGAAAAACCGAAGAGGGGATCATAATACATTCTCTGTAGGCTCGTGCAAAGTGGCTAGTATTTGCTTCGGATCGCACAATTCGGGGGACGGTGATTCGATTTGGTGATTCAAATCACTGTCCCAAATCGATTCGGCTGCAGCCAAATCTCTGAATCACACAGGCCCCATCCCCCACCTGCTTTCAATGGCTGCCCTGCCTGCCCCTACTCCCAGCTGTTAGGAAAAAAAAAGCCCGCACTCACTGGATGCTGCCAGGCAGGGGGCAATCCCTACTGCCCCGTGCCAGGGAGGGAGGCTCTCCCCCCCAACCCCTGCCCACTGTCCTAGCCCCCCCGTGGTTTGCCCTCCCACCCCAGCATCCAGCCCTTAAAAAAGAACAAAAAACCCTGGACTCGCTGGCTCCTGCCCAGCAGGGGGGCAATCCCCACTGTCTCCCCACTGCCCCACACTGTGTGGGGGGCTCTTCCACAAGCCCCCCAAAGCCTCGAGGCCACTGCAGCAGCTGGTGAACCCAGAGTTTTTTCATTTTTCATTTTTTTTTAAA